CCCTCTTTAACACAGTGACCCACACTCTTCAGATTTGGCTAAGATCTTCCATAAACTATAGTACTAACTCAGATAAATATTTAGGACTAATGGTAGCTCAGTGTTTCTGACATATTTTATTGTATATGATAGGGTTAGTAGAAGAAAAGGAGTGCTTTCCTGTCCTTCAGCCTAGCCACCTTGAGAAGAAAGAAGACCCTCTGGGATTTGGTTTATCATCAGCACAGGCCTAGCTATAGAATAAAAACAGGGTTCTGAATATGACAAGCCTACTTTTCCTAACAGTAAGTCTTATTATACTTAATAGGGCAAAGCAAAACCATGACTTTTGTTCTATTTAGCAAAGCCTCTGTGAAATAAGAATTTAACTCATGGGGATCCAAATTGTCATTATTGATACAATTTAGGTACACAAAACAATTGTCAAGTTTTATAATCTTAGATATTAGTGATTAACCTTTAAAGAAATTTAGATATTTTATGTGTATGAGTGATTTTTCACTGTGCATGCAGTACTTGAAGTCAAGAGAGGACATTGGATCTCTTGGAATCAGTTACTGGTGGTTGTGAGCCACCATGTAGGTACTAGGAATTGAACCTGAGTCTTCTGCAAGAGCATCAATTTGTTTGTTTGGTTTTTGGTTTCTCTGTAGCTTTGGATCCTGTCCTGGAACTCACTCTGTAGACCAGGCTGGCCTTCAACTCACAGAGATTGCCTGCCTCTGCCTTCCTAGTGCTGAGATTCAAGGCGTGCGCCTGCGCCGCCGCTGCCACCACCCAGCAAGAACATCAATCTTAACAGCAATCTCTCCAGTCCTGATCAACCTCCTCCACTGAACGGTACTTGCCATGCAAGTCCAGCAACCCGAGTTCGACCCCTGGAACTGACTGCATACACACATCACATACATATAGTAATAAGCCTTTTTGAAGTTATATTCACAATAAGGAATCTGCATAAAATTACAATGACTGGACAGTTCCTGACAGGCTAGAAGGGTCCCCATGGAACACTGCATAGTCTCCAAATTTTATTTTACTATTAACGACAGGTGCAACATAAATAACAAAGATGGTGATTTCAAGAACAGGCTTCAAATAAAGACAAAATGTCCAACAACAATAACTTAGCCCAATAAGTTAATTATAACATAAAGTGCATTGAATTCCCACTTAGGGGTTCCCTAAGGCCCAGAGGTGGTTTTGTAAAGGGCCATGTTAAATTGTAACCTTGTGTCATGCTATGGACGGTGCAAGGCTTGACTCAGTTTTCAGAATTGGAGTTCCCCTTGTTTTTCCTCCCAGGCAAAGGGAAGCTGGATTTGCTCTGGGGCTGGGAAAGCTTGCTGGCTAGTAAAGTGAAGGGCTCAATCAGTGTCCTCCGGTCTGTCACTGTCACCTCCCACAGTTTCACTTTCTCACTCTTCGCCCACTGCTGTGCCACCTCAGCATCCACTTGTCTCTGCTCAGAAAGGTCGATTTTGTTTCCTAACACAACAATTGCCACCTGAAAGAAAATGATGAAAAGACCACACTAGTATACTGTCAGTAATAGTTTATGCAAAATGGATAAATATGAATCAGGATTGCCAGTTCAAGGCCAGCTTGGGCAACTTAGTTAGATCCTGTCAAAAACAAAGTTTAAAAAATAAAAGACTGAGGCACGAGGCCCTAGGTTAATCTCTAGTACTAGGCTGGTGGGAGTGTCCTCAGATGTGATAGGAATAAGAGAAGGCATCACCTCACTTCTTTTTTCTGAGTACACACAAACATTCTATATTTTTAACTAACTTCTGGTAAACTGACTTGGAAATTACCATCCAGTCTAGGACCATGGCTTACCATGACTACACTGCTTCAATGTAAAGATGCTGCAGAGCTGAGAGTTCTGTACCTCTAGAGTGGTAGTGGGTTCTTGGTTATTCTGTCCTTGAAAGGTGCCTACTAAATGTCCTCTGAATTGTGAGCCAAGAGGAACATTTTACCCCAAATACAAGTAAATCATGCATTTAAGTTTGGCTACCCAGCAGGCAGTCCTTGGCATGACTCAAGCATAGCACAGAACCACAGTGCCAAATCCCCGAAGGCAGAGCCAGTGTGGAGCAGTCCTTCCCAGCAGAGCGCTGAGCCACAGCTGTGCGCCCGGCCTCTGTAGAAGGCCGGAGCTCCGGGCACTCCTCCCACTGCTGCGGAGTCCTGAGCGGAGGCAGTGTACGTAAGGTACGGAGTTCTTCAGTGCTGCTCCAACACAGCTGTCTCAGGGGTTCTACTGCTGTGATAAAACACTGATCAAACCCAGCTTGGGAAGGAAAGGTTAATTCCAGCTCACAACTCCCGGGTCACAGTCCATTACTGAGGGAAGTCAGAATAGGAACTGAAACAGGACATTGAGGAGTGCTGCTTACTGGCTTGCTCCCCGTGGCTTGCTCAGCCTGCTTTCTAAAAGTACCCAGTACCACAGCCAGGAATATCACTCACTACCCGTTATGAGCTGGGCCCTCCTACAGCAATCATCAATTAAGATAATGCCCTATAGGCCAATCGGGTGGGGGCACTTTCCTGAAGTTTCCTCTTCCCAAATGACTAGCTGTGTCAAGTTGCATAAAATGAGCCAGCACAGGGTCCTACCTAAACACTTATACAGAAGCCTAGTGTTCCTAGTTCAACATACCCACCTACCAATCCCCAACCCACATGCTGTTTATTGCCAATCAGACTAATTTCATGGTCACCCCGTCACTACTATGGTTATAGTCCTAACAATGTCACGCCTTCCTTATGTATATGCTTCTATAACCTGGGCTCTTGGTTTTGATTTTTCTGATGATCATAGTTTCCTCCTAACCAATCATCCCCTCCCATGATCACTCCCTAGACCTTTGGGAAAGATTTCAGTGCCAGGCAGCCCACACCAATCCCATCTTCCTCCTTAGCCTAAGTGCAGCCATTCTTACTAACACTACGATGCACCCTCTGGCTCTGCTACCTCTAGCTGCAGTCTGCCTCACACCCAAAGTCCCTCATCCAGCCCAGATGATTTTCATCACCACCATGTCTAGTTATACCACCACATGCTAAACCCTATGTTAAATTTCACTCTTAGCCCTGCTGGAGGGTGGGGGTCCCCACTTCATAACCACCAATCTCCACCTCGTGTCCTTCAACGGATTGCTGCATTAATTTCTTCAGCTAGATGACATCTCAGACCATGGCCTTTCCAACTTCTTTTCTTCCGTCCTTTAGCTGATGACCCTGCTGTTTTACAGGAAGAAAGTAAACTGGAAGAGAACGTCCTCACCAGCGAACTGACCTGTCATCTTCCCTGCCCATCTCAATGGCTCCAGAACCAGCCATCCTTTGCTGCTTGGACAAGGATGAGTGTCACTCCATCACTCCTCCAGCCAGTCACTCCTATCTGTTACTGTTATCTAAAGAAACACTTCCAATGCCACATCCTTCTCCAGGGCCTGTTCTCCTTCATAGCAAAACTAGTCAAAGAGCTACTGTAGCTTCTGTGTTTATTTTTCCCACCTCCAAGCAGGCTGCTTCTCATTAGTTGCCTAGAGTATGCCCTAACTTCCACATATTATAGAGCCATCAATTTTTTTAGTCCCCAACCTTTCTGATCTACCTAGAGAACTTGACAGTGGGGTTACTTTCTGCTTTATATAAGTGCTAGCTTCATTTGCTTTCTGGACACCCCTACTTACCCCTCGTTTTTTCTCCTGCTCACTAGCCTTCCTTATCTTGTTCCCCCAATGTTTATTGTCAGAACAGTATTCAAATGACTAAAGGCCAGGTGTAGCCAGGAGGTGTTGGCGCACGCCTTTAATCTCAGCGCTTGGGAGGCAGAGGCAGGCGGATCTCTGTGAGTTCAAGGCCAGCCTGGTCTACAAAGCAAGTTCCAGGATAGCCAGAACTGTTACACACAGAAACCCTGTCTTGAAAAACAAAACAGGCCAGGTGTAGTGGATTACATGCCTTTAGTCGCAGTCCTCAGGAAACTGAAGCAGGTAGGTCTCTGAGTTCAGGGCCAGCCAAGGCTATACAGGGAGATCCTGTCTAAGATAAGTAATAAAACTAAAAAATGTTCAACTTTGGGACTGGAAACACCACTAAGTGGTAGGAGTACATACTGCTCTAACAGAGGACAGAGGCACCTTGGTGGCTCCTGAGTCTGGCTCCAGAGATCTGATGCCCTCTTCTGGCCGCTACAGACACCTGCATTCATGTGCATATAACTCCTCCCCTTCCCCTCTCCACATAATCAAAGATAAAATAAGTCTTTAGCATAACTTATTTTTTAAAAGATGGCCAATCAGCTGGGTGTGTTAGTGCATGTTTAATCCCAGTTTGAGGAAACCGTGCCTTGAAAAACCAATCAACCAAACAACAAACAAACAAATAAATAAATCAAGTTCCAGGACAGCCAGGGCTGTTATAGAGAATCCTGCCTTGAAAAAAACCATCCAACCAACCAATAAATAAATAAGCAAGTAAGTAAGTAAAGTTTAAGAATCTGGGATTAAACAATTTATCAGTGCTATTAACCAGTGTGCTACATGGCTCCAAAGATGATGACTGAGCTGGGTGAGAGTGTAGAGAAGATCTGTGATTAGAGAATTCCAGGCAGAACAGTGGCAAGTAGGTAGGAGCTGATGACTAGTTATTAGCTTGTATGTACTTTTTTAGGTTGAGGATAATAAGAGTCCTATTTTGCTACAGATATCCTAAAAGCCTGAAGAAGCAATGATCCCACACATGACTGAGCTGTGCAGGACCTGAGCAAGGGAGCTAGGTAAGCACACATTGTACAGAGTCAAACAGAACTAGGCAGAAAGCCACACTTGTGCTAAATGGGCTCAGCCTATCCTGCATACCCTTTGTTTGCAGATACTACCAATACAAGTGAATGGTTTTGAAATGTGTGAACTACACACAATGCGAACCTACACTACACTTCATTTCTAACATGTTTGGTATCTGAAATGGCCACTTACCTCTTTTTTGTCTTTGAACTTATCAATTTCTTTCTTCAGAAGCTCCACTCTTTGAAAGGATTCAAGGTTATTCACACTGTACACAAGAACAAAGCCATCAGCAAAAGAGAAATAATGCTTTGGCAGCTCCACGCCTTCCTGCAGGCCTCGGGTGTCATATAAGTGGAGCTGCTCCTTCACCCCACGGTCTGTCTCCACTGAGGCCATGTACACGTCTTCCATTGTCTCACAGTCTTCCGTCCCTACATGGAAAAGAACCAGGGTCAGCCAGGCATGGTGGTGCACACCTGTAATCCCAGCACTCAGGAAGCAGAGGCAGGCAGATTTCTCTAAGTTCCTAGCCAGCCAAGGATACAGTTTCAAAAAAAGAACCAGGGTCAGTTATTCACTAGTTCCCTGTCCTTTCGAGGCTGGCTTTCTAGGTTTCCCACACACCATATGTAATAATCAAATTTCTACTTTACTAATTTCTTCAAAATTAAAAGTAGTTATTCATCTGAAAGTATCTTATTTTTCTAAAAATATTCTTTGGACCATGAAGATAACTCTCAAGCTTGGTGACCTGAGTTCATTCGATTCCTGGGACCTACTAAAAGGTAGGAGAGAATTGACTCTACAAGGTCATCCTTTACTCTGTACAGAGTCTTACATGTCCCACCCACCCACCTACACATACACATAGACATACTTTTTAAAAATCATTTCTTCTGCCAGACATGGTAGTGCACCCTTTAATTCTAGTACTTGGGAGGCAGAGGCAGGAGGATCTCTGTGAGTTCAAGGTTAGCCTGGTTGGTCTACAGTGACTTCTAGGGCAGCCAGCCTCAAGAAAACAAAAAAGTTTCACAGGGCGGTGGTGGTGCACGCCTTTAATCCCAGCACTCAGGAGGCAGAGCCAGGCGGATCTCTGTGAGTTCCAGGCCAGCCTGGGCTACCAAGTGAGTTCCAGGAAAGGCGCAAAGCTACACAAAGAGACTCTGTCTCAAAAAACCAAAAAAAAAAAAAAAAAAGTTTCTTCTCATAACTCATTGAGGTGACACACTTATATCCAGCCCTTGGGTGGTGTGAACAGGAGATCAGTAATTCAAGGTTAGCCTTAACTGTGTAGGAATCAGAGGCTGGTTTGGGCTAATAAGACCTTGTCCAACAAACTAAACCTTTCTTCTGGTATTAGAATTGATCTATCGTTAAGTCTGCCAAAAAAGTAAAATTTTTTCTTCTATATAAAAATGGTAATAAAAATCTGGCAGTGAGATTACCTATTTTTATGAACTATAATAGTCAAAGAAGCTAATACCTAAATGATAGTGATAAAAGCTGATTTAAATAGCAGCTTCGGCCTCCATCAGAAGCAAGGCTGAAACAGGGTAATGGGCTGTTTTCTGCAGAATGCCCAGGTTATCTCCACAAGAACTGCATATGTCCAATTTGGGCCCAGACCCAAGCTAGTTCTCAGAATTGTAAAGAGGGATGCAAGAATTGAAACCCAAACAGCCTTTGTTTGTCTAAGTTATACTTTTCATAGCCGATGCATTAGAGTTTAAACTGAAGTAACTTTAAACTCCTTTTTTTTAGACAAAATATTACATGTTCCCAGACTGGCCTTGACTTAGGCAGTTATATGCCGCCATGTTCCCAGCTACTCAAGAATATAATTTTAAGAAAAGCTTGCCCTTGACCTGAAAAGAGTAGGAGATTAAAGGCAATTCTGACACCAACGAGTTTGAGAACTGTTGGCATAGACCTTAAAGTGAACACTAAATATAATTTCTTTGGCAGTGCCAGAGACTGAACTCAGGGCCTCATACATGCTTACCCCTGAGCTACATCTCTAGCCCTTGAAATACAGATTTAATAACAATTGTAATATATTATTTTGAGAAGCTAGAATAGAAACCAAGGTCATCCATTGGGGGTGGTGCATGCCTTTAACCCCAGCACTCGGGAGGCAGAGGCAGGCAGATCTCTGAGTTGGAGGCCAGCCTGGTCTCATAGCAAGTTCCAGCAAAGGGTACAGAGAAACCCTGTCTTGAGAAAAACAACAACAACAACAACAACAACAAAACAAAACAAAAGATCATCAAAATGATGAATAAAATATAAAAATGTACTCTAAGCTATATAGCAGAAAGAAACGCTCTAAAGATCTGTATTTACTAATCTGTCTTCTTTAGCAAAATCATGACCTCATTAGTGCCAGGGACATCATCTTCTTCACCTCTGCAGTTCTACAAAGCACCATCACATGCAGTATGAAAAAGAAAACAGGAAACAGTGTACTCATCGGAGGATTAAATGAATGAGATGACCTCAATTTACAAAACAAGGTCATACTGTAGGAAGCAGTCATTTCTTCATTTTTAAACCTATACAGCAGCATTAAAACACTAAGCCTGAAGAATGGCACTACCTCAGAGACCCTAAGATTCCTAGACCTCCTTTTGAGGCAGATGCACAGTACCCCATTTTCATATTACTCATGTCTACCTGCCATTTGTTTTCTGACCTGTTATATAACCTGTAGCAAGCACTGTTGAATTGCAACAAAACCCAATTTTCTTTCCCCTACTTATTCTCCTTTTACACCATTTAGCATGACCAACAAGTGCCCTGAACCAGTTCCAGAACCTAGAGAAACAAAGAAAGATAATCTTACCAATAGTATGATTCCCATAAAGGAGTTGCTCCAGAATCGCAGTTTTCCCAACGGACAACAACCCACAAACGACAACCTTGCAGCCCTTTCCCATCTTCTCTCAGGACAAAACTGTGGAGAAAATGGAGGGACTTTAAAACTGGACACACTGAAGTGAATCCTTTCTTTCCCTTAAAGTTTAAGTTGAACCAGTAATACAGAGGAAACTCCAAATATTAAAAGGGTGATACAGAATAAGATAATCTTTCCACACTCCATTCTCCAAACTCTTTGTGAAGAGTTTCTTATATATTGCCACAGAAATCATCTGGATAGACTGTAAAAATACCTAAAGGAGATGCATGTAATCCCAGCACTCAGAAAGCGGAGGAGGATCAGCATCAGCTATATAGTGAGTTAGAGACCACCTTGGATGTTGATATCTAGGCATGGCTGCTCATGCCTACAATCCCAGCACTCTGTAATAGAAGTAAAGAGTGCTGAGGCTGGAGGATTACCATGAGTAAAGTAACATTTTCCTTAAGGCTTTTGTTTTTCCAAAAGACAGGATCGTGGCAGCTGAGGTAAAAAAGGGAAATGGTTCATTAAAAACAACAGAAAAGTCATTTTTAAAAAGTCAAATGGTGGGGTTGGAGAGATGGCTCAGAGGTTAAGAGCACTGGCTGTTCTTCTAGACCTGGGTTCAATTCCCAGCACCCACATAATATCTCACAACTGTCTGAAACTCCAGTTCCAGGGGATCTGACAACCGCAGACATACATGTAGGCAAAATACCAATGGAAAAAAAAAAGGTCAAATTGTAAGCCAGGCATGGTGGCACAGCCCTTAATTGAGGCACTTGGGAGGCAGAGGCAGGTGGATCTCAGAGTTTGACACCAGCCTGGTCTACATAGTAAGTTCCAGGACAACCAGAGGTATATAGAAAAACCCCAGCTCACCAATGGGTAAAAATACTTGCTACCCAGTCTGATGACCTGAATTTGATAACCAATTCCCAAAGGTTGTCCTCTCAACTTCTACACAATTATATACATACCTATACATGCATGCACAAATAAATAAGTTAAAACAAAATTTTGAGACAGAGTCTCACTATGTAGCTCTGACTGTCTTAGAACTCACTATGTAGACTAGGCTGGCCTTGAACTCAGAGATTCTCCTGCCTCTGCCTCCCAAATCCTGGGATTAAAGGTGCACACCACCCAGCCTGGCTTAAAAAAACAACACAAAAACAAAACAAACAACAACAACAAAAACTTTTAAGGGGCCATAGCAATAGCTCCATGGTTAAGAGCACTGGCTGCTCTTGCAAAGGACCTGGGTTCAATTCCCAGCACCTACACAGTGGCTTAATGTATAAGGGTGTTTTGTCAGTATGTATGTCTGTGCACCATACTCATGCCTGGTACCCGTGGAAGCCAGGAAGAGGGTATTAGGTCCCCTGGACTGGAGGTAAAGAGAGTTATGAGCTGCCATGTGGGTACCAGGGTCCTCTAAACCGGTGAGCAGATGGCTCCCCATCTCCACTTTATAGAAATGGACTCCTGAAGATGCCTCCATCCTAATCCTGGAAACCTTTGAGACCTCACTTTAAAAGGATGTTTGCAAGTGTGACTGAATTAACCTTGAGACATAGATCAAGATGGAGGTGGAGATCTATCACAAGTGTATTTTTAGAGGTTTGAGAGGATGACTGACCGGAAGGTGGCAGAAGCCAGCAGCCAAGGGATGCAGGCAGTCTTGGGCTGCTGTTCCTGACACCAGGATTTTTTTTTTTTTTAATTTAATGTTCATTGGTGTTTGCCTACATGTGTTTCCGTGTGAGTGTGTCAGAAGTCCTGGAACTGGAGTTACAGACAATTGTGAGCCACCATGTCGGTGCTGGGAATTGAACCTGGGTCCTCTGAAAGAGCAGCTAGTGCTCTTAACTGCTGATGCATCTTTCCATAAGTGTTTTATTTGAGCCATTAAATATATTGCAACAGAAAACAGCGGGGCCAGCACAGCCTCCTCACTTGAGGGAAAAGCAGAGCACACAGCAAGCCACGGAGTAAGGTAATATTCCTGCGGCCTGCAGCAGGAAAGCCCAGAGGACTGTTTCTGTTCAGAAAGGGGCAGGCCTCCCACGGGTGTCAACGGAGCTCCTCCTATCAAGCTGCATATTAAGCACCTCCCCTTGTATTAAGTAAGGTTGGGCAAGGCAATCCCATATGAGGAATAGGTTCCCAAGAGCCAGCCAGAGGTTAGTGGCAGCCCCTGCTCCCATTGTTAGGAGTCCCACAAGCCGACTAAGCTATACAACTGTCGCATTTATACAGAGGGCCTAGGTTGGTCCCATGCAGGCTCCCTGGTTGTTGTTTCAGACTTCAGAGTTCCTATGAGCCAGCTTAGTTGTTTCTGTGGGTTTTCTTATGATGTCCTTGACCTCTCTGGCTCCTACAATCCTTCCTCCCTCTCTTCTGCAGGATTCCTTGAGCTCGGCCTAATGTTTGGTTGTGGGTCTCTGCATCTGTTTCCATCAGTTACCAGATGAAGGCTCTCTGATGACAATTAGAGTAGTCACCAATCTGATCACAGGAGACGGCCAGTTCAGGCTACTTATCCACTGTTGCTAGGAGTCTTAGCTGGGGTCATCCTTGTAGATTCATGGGCATTTCCCTTTCATCAGGTTCCTACCTGATCTGGAAAGCACCCCTTTCCAGTCATCTCTTTCAGTACTCCCCCACTCCATCCACTCCAACGGGATCCCTCTTGTTCCCATCCCCAGGGAGAGCTCTAAAAGAAATCTTATCCTGAGCACTCTGTCCTAACTAGCAAGCAACACCAGATGTGTTTTTTAAAAAAGGCGGGGGGAGCGTGGCAGTTAATTGGAAGATAACTTCCACCCATGTCCAGGCTCCACTGGCTCACATACTCCCAAACAAGGGCTCCGCTGAAGCAGGCCTCCCCGCTGGGACGCTGGGGCAACTGTCACTCTATTCCCCTTCACTCCCTCAATGTGTGTCCTTGGCACCAACTTAAATGCATAGCTCAGTATTAACGTTTGCTCCCACGGCTAGAACTTGTGCGTTGTTTGCGGCTGCAGCGCCAACAGCTGAGCCTGCGCCTGGCACATATTAAGATATATAGAGATATATTAAATTTTTTTTTTTTTTTAAAAAAGACAGGTGAGGATTCCTACAATGCTAAAGTCGTTATTTATTTTAAAAGATGAACAGAGCCACAGATTGATGTAAAAGGCAAACATGGTTCCGGAATCTTGGCCACAAACAAGAGTAGAGTATTAAAACCGCACGACTATATGAAAAAAGAAAATTCTGGAGCTGCAAAAACTCCAATACACCATTATTTCTTAATAAAGAACGCAATGCAGAATGCCAGCATTCTGGGCATTTCTTCCTGAAACAGTCGTACCTAAGAGGGCTTGACAAATGAACAATTTGCTATCCTAAAAGCATCCATAAAATAAGCCCCCGCGTTCTGACGTTAGCATCTCCGGCTCCCATCCACCAGCTCGGCCTGGTTCGGCAGGTCCCCGGCGGGCTCAAGGACACGCGCGAGGCCCACGCGTGCAGCCACTTGCGCCTACACCCACCCGGTGGCTGTCTTGCGGCCACACTGCTCCGGGATCACGGAGAGGAGCCGGCGGAGACACCAACCTGACACTGCGGGGCAGTGAGACAGAGGCACGCCGGTCACCGCGGCCCGCGGACACCGCTCTGGAGCCAGTCCCCGACCTGGCTCCTCAGGACCCGCAGCGCGACGCCCACGGCGCTCAGCGCCTCTCACCTCTCGCAGCCTTTGCAGCTCAGAGGCAATGCTGAGCGCCAGCGGGAGGACATCCGGAAGCGACCAGCTGTCCCGCCTGACTCCGCCCACCAGATTGGATGTCGGAACTACATGCCCCATGAGGCACTGTGCGGCCACCCCGCCCCACCGGAAGGAGAGTCGCCGAGGTGGGGGAGGAGCCACAAAAGGGATTGTGGGAGAAAGGCTTCTTCCTTTCCTCTGGCGGCAGCCATCAGGTAGGCTGGCTGGGCTGTGTTTGCGTTTCCATCCGCCGCGAATCGCGTTCGTCTCCAGCCATCCGGCCCTGGCGGCCCGGCCGCCTGGGAGCTGCCTCCTCCCACGGGCGTCCAGTCAGGATGCGGGGTGGAGAGGGCGCGAAGACGCGGCCATCCGGGAGGCTGGAGGGGAGAAGCGATGGCGGCGGGATCCGAGCCGGGCCCGGGCCTGAGGCACGGGGGCCCGGCCAGGCCGCCGCGGGGGCGAAGCTTGCCGGGTCTCAGTCGCCGGCGGCGGCGGTCGCATCCCTGCGGCCAGCCCGGGTGATGGGTGCAGCCGAGTCGGCAGCGGCGCCGCGCCGCCCGTGCGGAGCCGTCCTCGGTGCCCGTGGAAGGTGGGGCGCCGGAAGGGACGGAGCAGTTCTGGTCATGCCTGACAGCGATCGCCTTTTCAATCTGCTTCCTCTCAAGGTGAGCCAAGATGGGTGCGTACAAATACATCCAGGAGCTATGGAGGAAGAAGCAGTCGGACGTGATGCGCTTTCTCCTGAGGGTCCGCTGCTGGCAGTACCGCCAGCTCTCGGCGCTGCACAGGGCTCCCCGCCCCACCCGGCCTGACAAAGCGCGGAGGCTGGGATACAAGGCCAAGCAAGGTTATGTCATATACAGGATTCGTGTCCGCCGTGGTGGCCGCAAACGCCCAGTTCCTAAGGGTGCAACTTACGGCAAGCCTGTCCATCATGGTGTTAACCAGCTAAAGTTTGCCCGAAGCCTTCAGTCTGTTGCTGAGGTAAATGGATTGATGTACTGGTTGTCTTGGCAACCCATTAAGGGTTGTGGGCAAGAAGAAATGGGGCAACATAACTGGGTATCAGGTGGGACTGGAGGTATTTTGTACTTAACCTTGGCAAAGAGCAATTGTTATCAAAACTGTTACTGTTCTGTGCTTAGGTATATACTGAAAGGTTTTTTGTTTTTTTATAGAGAGTAAACTGCAGAAACTCTAAAGATTTATTTTTATGTGCATTGCTGCCTGAATGTTTATCTGTAAGAGAGTGTCAGATTCCCTAGAACTGAAGTTCTAGACAGTTGTGAGCTGCCATGTGGGAGCTGGGAATTGAACCCAGGTCCTCTGGAAGAGCAGCCAGTGCTCTTAACCGCTGAGCCATCTTTCAAGCTCTGTTTTGTTAGTTGTTTTAATAAACTAGGTTCTGAAGAACCTAAGCTTTTGAAGACAGTCAATTTGGGGGCTGTTCTCAAGTTAACTTTCACTTAGGTTGCTAATACAGTGTGATCAGTTGCAGTTTTTCTTTTGGATTGCTAAGCTATGTTCTGTTATAGGAGACCCCTTTCCAGAAGTGGGAGCTTCTGATTCATTGACTCCTGTATAAAGGGGGCTGCGATAGTACTCAACTCCAAGCCCGGTGTTAATATGTCTTAGGGAGAATTCAGAAGGAAATGATGTGTTTCTGTCTAGATCTGTCGTTTGAGCTAGTCTTTAGTTTGTGGGGACATGACTTGCTTCAGTCTCTGACCCAAGGAAGGATTTTTGTGTAATTAGCTGCTGTAAGCAGTACATAAGACTGACTGGGACTTTCCCCCTGTTTTAGGAGAGAGCTGGACGCCATTGTGGGGCTTTGAGAGTCCTGAATTCTTACTGGGTCGGCGAAGATTCCACATATAAATTTTTTGAGGTTATCCTCATTGATCCATTCCATAAAGCTATCCGAAGAAACCCTGACACCCAATGGATCACCAAACCAGTCCACAAGCACAGAGAGATGCGTGGGCTGACATCTGCTGGCCGCAAGAGCCGTGGCCTTGGAAAGGGCCACAAGTTCCACCACACTATTGGTGGCTCTCGCCGTGCAGCCTGGAGAAGGCGCAATACTCTGCAGCTCCACCGTTACCGCTAATACACGTAATATTTGTAAAATTCATACCAATAAACAATTTAGGACCGTCCTGTCTGCTTACAGGTGTTATTTGTCTGTTAAAATTAGTCTGCAGATTATCATGAAACTTTATGGAATTATAGCGGTTAAAGTGCAATAATGTTTGAAGACTACAAGTGATGGGGTGTCTTGTTTCTGATAACCTTTTTGTCTTTGCGTTACCTACTTAGGGGGTTAAGTGTATGGTGTTAACACCATGTGCTATCCTGTGTGTAAGATCCTGTAAAAGGAGTCCTAGGACTAACCCTGTAGATGTGTTTTGTGCATGTGATAGAACCTGGAGCTTTATTGGAATGATGCAGTCTTCTAGTTTGCTCAAGTGACTGCTTGGGAGTTTGAGTACAAACTTTTAGAGTTGGGTTCTGCTTAGAAATGAATAGGAAGAGAAGCTTTTCAACCTGTTTTGTGAATATGCATAGAAAAGGAGATCATCTACAACCCACATTTTGAAAATTGAATCCAGTGTCCCATTTTCAGAAGAATGAGGTAAAATTGAAAGAGGTTTCATTTTTTGTTGGGTCTCTGGACTATGAGTTTGATGCCCAGTAATCGGTGTTGGCACCTGTGTATTTTGAAGTTGGAGATTGAACATTGGATGGGTTGGGGCATGTTTAGGGTTGGTATGGTGAGGTTGCCCTTGAAAGGGCAAATTGTTTCCCTTAGGGTGTGTAAACTAGTGATGGGTGCCATGTGGGGTTCAAGTTAATACCAACCAAGTGAACTTAAAAAGTTGTGACTAAGAAGTTTCTATCCACTAGCCACATAAAAAGGGTGGCTGAGTAGTTCAAGGTAAATCCTAGGCCAGTCAGTTCATTTTGGAGGTAAGAAAAGTCAGTTGGCAGTATGACTTCATTGTTTACAGTCTTCCCTTAGGTAGTGGCTGGGGTCACTTGTCCCTGGTATATTACCTGGGAGTTGTTGACATTTCACAAAGGCCACACATACCACCACATTTTCATTTGTGCCATTCCTTGAACTAATTTCACACAGTACATTTTAGTATGGAAGAAATAGATAATTGCCCTTATCACAGATCTGGGCTAGCAGGCTTGATTTAAAAAACAAAAACAAAAACAAAAACTGATGCCTTTCAACTGATTTTTTTTTTCTCTTCAGATTTTTAAAGGGTGATTTTATTGATTTCCAGAAAATACTAGACTCAAAATCTTGGGACCTAGAATTCTTTTCTATTCAGCAAAACAAATCATTGTGTATAGAGGTTGTTCAACTAAAGTAATAAATGTCTGTTAAACAAGTGGACCTATGTTATCTTTTATGTTAAAACAAATGAAAAAAAAAGATACTAATGGTAGAAATGACAAGCATCATTTGAAAGAAAGTGGAGTATACTAGGAATTAGGAGACTGCTTGGGCCTAGCACTGTGCCTCCAGTTCTGTGCTTAGTTAGTACTGGGAAGAGTCTTGCTAAAGGCCTGTCAGCATGACAGGCTTGCCTTTGTCCTTGCCATCCTTGAGCTTTATCCACACTGCAGCTAGAGGGGTCCTGTCAAGTTTATCCTGGCCTTCTATATGCTGGAAACCTTAGCAAATGACCTATGTCTGCCCCCTTAGTTCCTCGATCTTCATTGTAAATCTTTCCCCAGACAATTGGAATACTAGTAGATGTTATGTGATAATGCTAAAGATTTTTGTTTTATTTCAGGTGGTTTCAATTAGCTGAGGCTGTCGTTTGACTCCTGCCTCCACCTCCCATATACCAGGATCATAGCAGGCATGCATTAACACTTAAACTATTTTTGTCTTGAGAAAAGATCTATATAGCCCTGGCTGGTTTGGAACTTGGCTATGTAGACCAAACTGTACTGGACTCAGATCCACCTACCTCTGCCTGCACACTCTTGGTTTCTTTCTGAGACAGTTAACCCAGGTTGACCTTGAGTACTGAGGTTACAAGGATGCCCAATTTTCATAGTAGTTAGTCTCACAACAAGGAACAGGTAAGACGTACACTGATCTATCATCACTGAAGTATATAATTAAATGGTGTACTAAAGAGCACACAAAATGTATGGCTGGGGATATTTCCCATCTTTGCCCTCACACTTGGGAGGTAGGCAAGAGGATCAGCAGTACAGAGCCTGTCTCAAAAGAGGCTGTGAATAGCAAGCTCTGCCTTAAGTCTTCCTTCGCTGTACACCTTCCATCTCAGCGCCCAGGAGGCCCAGGCTGTGGATTTCTGAGTTCAAGTCCAGCCTGGTCTACAGAGAGCTCTGACTCCCAGGTTCCTGTTCTGAAGGCAATAGGTACAATCAGTTTCTTGGATTTGATTTTAGATTTTGAGATAGTAACAAGCCTAGAGCTGATATTCACCAGAGTGTGGAAACTACTGGTGTTTGCTACCTTACCCTGCTTATGTGGTGCTAGGGATGGAATTGGTACCTTGTGTGTGCTAGGCAAGCACTCTTCCAACTCTAAGAAATACTTTTCCTGTTGAAGACAGTCTTGCTATGGATCCCAAAATAGATCATCATCTGCTTCTGTGTGTGATGGGATCACATTTATGTATCATCACACCTGGCTCAAGAGATTGTAAAATGCAATTTATTTTTATCCAAATGGTAGGATATTATACATACTAAGTTCTTTGCTGAGTTACCTAGGAGCTTATTTGTCCACAAAGAGCTTCATTCTCTTTTTGTAATGTAATTTGATGCGGCCCTGGTATTAGTCTCTACAACAGTGCTTCTCAACCTGTGGATGGAGACCCCTTTGGGAGTTGAAGAATACTTTCACAAGGGTTGAATATCAGACACCCTGTATATCAGATGTTTGCATTATGATTCATAACAGTAGCAGAAGTACAGTTACAAAGTAGCAATGAAAATCGTTTTA